AAAGCCTTCAGTGGTGGATGCTGCTTTCTCTGCGCTATGTTAGGGGTTACTGCTGGCTGGGGGGAAGCTGAAGGTGAGTGCTACAGGTAAGGGCTGCTCTCCAACTACTCAGCCTGGTTCAGGAGTGGCAGCAGGGCAGTGCTGCAGGAAGATGCTCCTCTGCAGCTCCGGCAGTGGTTTAAACCCTCAGTGCTTCCTTGGAGCTGCACTCAGCAATACTTCATCAGATCTTGAGACAACACAACACAGGTACAAAGAAAAAGTAAAAACAGTCCAGGCTGTGCTGTCAGGCTCATATTGCAAAAAAAGTAATTCAAGTTAACTCAGATTCCTTGTCTGCTCCCCCCACCCCCAAAAAACAGCAAAGCTGCAGCGGTGCCAGGAAAGCCTCTGCTGGAGGAGCAGCACGCAGCACTGCCATGGCATTAAACACTGCGAGAGCAACTGCTGCAATGGACTGAGGAGCACAGCCAAGAGCTGCAGATCTGTCCACAAATCCTCAAAAAAAAAAAAAAAAAAACTAAAAAAACCTAAAAGCCAAATAAATCACAAATAACCCCCAAAAGCGTATGCGCATTATTAACGTGGTGCCTGCATTACGAGGGTTGTAATACTGCTGTGCAAAGCTGCTGCTGCCTGCACTCACTGCTTCGCTCAGCGAGCTGAACTGGCGCTGTGCTGCAGCAGAGGGAGCTGGGGGGGTCAAAACGCCACCGACTGCTGCACACATGGCACTGTGTGCCCCTGCTGTCCTTCCTCAGCCACAGCGCCTCCCCTGCGGTGCTGCTCCGCAGGGGCTGATGCAGACAAACCCTCCACAACAGGTGAATGGGGGCTGAACAAAAAGCAGTGCTAGAGGGAACTCGGCTCCAAGTACACCAACATACAGCTCAGGTGTGAAGCAGAAGCACCGCTGCCCCACGGCCTCCACTGCCCCGGGGAAGGGATTCAGTCGCGACACAGCTCGTGTCACGACACCATACCTCTTCCTGCAGTTGGACCAGAGCTGCTGCAGCTGAACCTGCCAGCATCACTTCAAATTTGTCATTTCGTTTTGCATCGCCTAAGCTGCAGAAAGCTGAAAACAACAAAGCCCAGCAGCAGCTGCTCTGCCAGGCACAGGAGGAGGCCAGGATTCCCAGCCTGGTGTCTCTGCCACCCGCAGTGGATGGCTGAGCAGCACCCAGGGTCAGACCTGATCATAACCCCGTCACCACCTGCAGGCTCTGACAGAGCACCTCAGGGCACCCAGCACAGCACGGCCACTAAACCAGCCCTGTCACCATCCCGTCACGCAGACCTCCTCTCTGCCTGCACATGAGGAAGGCAGCACAGAGGGGAGCTCTGACCTCCTTGTCCCAGTAGGAAACTCCCTAAGCACCAGCACAGAGGGCATTTATCACACTTGGATTTATTCCATCAATCATTCCGTGTCCCCCACGGCGCATACCCACAACCACTCCTCTATCTGCAGCCACACTCATCCACCACCATGTCCTCGTAGTGCCTCAGCACCACGTTGTCACTGTTGTCATAGTAGAGGATGGAGATGGGGGACAGCCTGACGGGGACGCAGCAGGGCTGGGGTGTCCCCTCCGGGTCCAGTGAGTGCACCATGGTCTGCAGGATGGCGTGGTTGGTGCTGTTGAGCTCAGCTGTCAGGGGGAAGGGGCACTCGCCCAGGCAGTAGTTGGCCAAGTAGCCCTGCGGGGCGATGATCCAGTTCTCCCAGCCGACGTCACTGAAGCTGATGTAAAGGCGCCGGGGCTTGCAGAGGTTGCTCGGTGTGACGGGGACGTTGTAAGCGCTCCTCCTCCTCCTGGATGCCCCGCACTGCTGGCTGAGGGTCACCACCAGGAGAGAGGCATCCAGGAACGAGTCGATGCCGGCACAGAGGCCCTGTGGCCCTGCGCTCAGCGTGGCTGAGGCTCCGTCTCCGCTCACCGCGATCTCCAGGATCAAGCCCAGGTTCCTGCTGTGAGTTGTCCAGTCCTTTGCCACATCGCTCAGGTTGAAGAGCAGAGACTTGTGCAGGCGGGCGAAGGACTGCTCCACCAGCAACTTGCGGCCTCGCTCCAGGGACGGCGTCCCCCTCAGTGGCACCTGGCAGCTGCGGTACAGCCGCAGCTCGAAGCCCTGCCCCTGGCCGGGGCTGTGGTACGAGTTGTGGCTGAACTTGAGCTCCAGCTGAGCCATCGTCAGACGCTCACCCTCCTCCAGCACAGAGAGGTTAAAGTACAGACGCTTCTGCAGACACAGCAGCGGATGGGGCTGTGTGCTGTGAATGAAGTGGCCTGATGGAGAAGAAGAAATAGAGGTGGTGGTGTCTGAACCCCCTTATGGCGAGCAGGATCAGCCTCCCAGTAGTCGATCAAGCTCCTGGCTGCACACGAAGAGGAATACGGGCAGAGCAGAGACAGGCAGCTCTACACATCCACAGCTGCTGGATCAAGATGACAGTGCCGTGGGATGGGGCCATCAGCCCCACAGCACAGCCTGCAGCAAACTGTCAGTATCGCCCCCGGGGCAGAAGCGTTGTTAGAGGATGGAAGGAAAGGAGGGCGGATAGCAGCAGACTTCAGCAGACTGAAGTGACGAGCTGCCTGTGAAAGCCAGCCCTAGATTTCCACTGGAAATCTGAGCTCAACAGAACCCAATCGCGCCTTGAGATGCGGATGGCATTGACAAAGCAGCTGCCACGTAAAGGAATGGCTCAGAGCAGCCCGAGGCAGGAGGACCAAAAGGAGAATGGGGACAGGACCCAGCAGGATTGCTGAGCATCTGCCTCCACCCGAAGCAGGGAGCCTGAACTCTAACATCATTACCTACAACACGCTCACAGATCAGACCATACACAGGCAAGACTGGTCTCAGAAACCACTTCTGGCTGCTGCCCTGTCCTCCCCCAGCCATTCCCAGCCCAGACCACAGAGAGGCTTTCAAAAGGCAGGACTCAAACGGCAGCATTTCTGTACCTTGGTCAGCGAAGACACGGATGATGTCCCCAGGGACGTTAAACTCTTCCACTCTACAACCATCCACCGGGTCTCTGTTTGTTGCAGGAGAGCTCTTCCTCTTCTGGAAGATCCGCCAGAGAACAGATGGCACCGGAATGGGGATTTTGGGGCTGGGCTTCACGCTCAGACCCAGGGATTTTAACAGCAAACTTTCCTGTAAACTTAAATCCATCCCCAGACTCACAGTAAGGAGAGCCCAGGCGAGGCCAGCTCCAAAGCTGGCACGCACAGGGAGAGGCCACATCACTCCGCTTTCCTGACCGCAGACAAAGAGCAGCGCTGTGCACAGGACCCACTGCCAGCTGCACTGAAGACAGGGCCAGGGGGTGATGATTGCCTGATGGGAGCCTTTGATCTCGTTAGTGCTCAATTAGCACACAGGGATTCCCAGGATTGGGCAGAGGGTGTGAACGGTCCCCCCCGGCTCCCCGGGGCCTTTTAACCCTTTGAGGCTGTGGCAGGAAAGCAGCTCAGAGCTCCCTCCCCTTCTGCATCTCCACCCCATTGAGGTCCAACAAGAAGTTCCACGCAGCAGCAATGCTGCCAGCACGCCGAGCTGCTCCCCGTGCCCTGGAGAAGGGCAGATCTGGTGGCCACTCCACCCAGACTGGGGAGACGCTGCTCAGTCCGGGCTTTCTCTCACCGCCTCCTCCCCAATCAGCTCCTCAATCACAGTGTTTAACACTTCTCTCCAAACGCTGTTAACTTCCAGCACAGCGCATCTTCAAGCTCTGCCCTTCAGCTCCCACCATCCTCCCCCAGCCCAGGTGCACAGACAGCAACCAGCACCCACTTCCCACACAGGGTCCCCCCGCTCAGGCACACACACACCAAATGCTGCAACTCCAACACACTGAGATTCAGCTTCCTTCGTTTCCTCCTTCCTGCAAATCCAGTTCAAAAGCCAAGAAACTAAAGCACGCAGATAGAGCCCTCTGAAACTCTGCTAGGAAATTACAAGGTGACGCATCCTGCCACAGCTTGGCAGTTTCCATCAAGCCAAAGTCACATTTTGCTTTCAGTTTCCCTGAGGCTCACGTGGCAGCAGTGAGTCAAATCAACATAAAGAGATCAAACAGTAAAAAATAAAATTAAAAAAAATAATAATTAGTCAACCTCTGATGCCTGGAGCGGATGCATCCAGTATCCTACCACTGCCTACTGATTCCGGCCGGGGGAGCTCTGTGCTGGGTCAGCCCCAGACCCCAGACCCCACCAGGCTCGGGTCAACGCTGCCTGGAAAATCAGCACAGGCAGCAGAGATTGACTGCTCTTCACTCAAGCAAGCAGACGTTGCTGGGCAAGAGTCTGCAGAAATCTCTTACATGGGCTTTTTAAGCGAACAAGATGTCCTGGCCCTCATTCTGGGCCAGAATAATGCTCTAGGGCTGCGTTTCCAGGAAGACCTGCACGAGAGAACTGTGCTGCATGCTGCAGCCTCCAGAGAAGCACAGACATCTCCGAGTTAGAGACCCCTCCAGGTCAGCAAGGCCCAGAAGTGCACTGCTTCACCTCTCTGCTGCCTGCTGGCTCCAGGAGCAGAGCTGGCTTTGGGTTCCCTATGCCTGATACTGCAGTGCCAATGGGGGAGAGGACGTTCCCCTCCCCACCTGACACTGCATCAGAGAACCCTTCAGTGCTGCTGAGGCAGAGTGGTGGGGAGGGGCCAATGCAAACAACAGGAGAAATCACAAAGAGACTGAGAATAGCTGAGGGATGGATGGAGTGAAAGAGGAAGCACCAGGGGACCTAAAGCCAGCTCCAAATCCTACCTGGACCAGCAAAGCCACTGCCTCTCAACTGAACCAGCACGTACAGGCTACAGAAAGTACACAGCATCAGGTGAAGCCTGGTCACAGGCAAGGCCTGGCAGGGGCCTGTTCCATCAGTGGCATCTCTTCCCCGGCTCCAGGCAGGGGATGAAGGGGCGTTGGGGATTAAGCTCTTCTTGTGCCTTTCATTTGCTGGGATTGAGCGTAGGGTCCTGGCTCAGTCCCCAGATCCAGCCAGGCTGCAGCAGCCACACTCTTATAACCGCTTGTCTTTCACAAGTCCGTTCTTCAGGTGCATCCTGTGAATGAGAGCACAGCAGACAATGAGCTTGGGCCTCTGCACTGACTCTCCCTCCCTTACTCTCACACATCACTGCTGATCTGCCATAACAGGCTCATGCAGGCGTTTTGAGGCTGGTCCCATCAGTCAGACCTGCTTTACAGGATCCAGTAGCTCACCTGACTTTGTGCTCCACACAAACAGCAGATGCTGTTCAGGGGGAGCAATGTCACACACAGAGCCAGTTCTGCTGGTGAGGAGGGGAAGGGAAAGGTGAGGATTCGTGGGACAAAGGTGGACAGACACACTGCAGTGCTGGGATGTGGAGACACAAAGTTCTTCCCGATCCCTGCAGCTATTTTTTACACTCTGCATCAAGACATCCTTCTCTTTTCCAGCCCAGCGGTGGATGCTTTGAATGCTGCTCCACGGCATCTTCCCTTCTCCCAACCCAGAGGTGCTGCCCATGTCCCCACCCCTGCCCACGCACCCTTCTTTCAGAGCATTGGGCAGCTGGAGCCCACTCTCTTTCTTCTTGCCCACTGTGGTTTTCTTGCTGTCCTCCACATCGTACTCGCGCACGTCATTCACCTCGTGCACCTGCCCCATCAGCACCTTGGCCACAAACAGGACGATGTACTGCAGGGGGAAAGGCACCATCAGCCACAACCCCAGGCCCAAAGCTGTTCCACCCAGCCCGCTCCATCCCATCTGCTGCATGGGGCGTTCCTCTGCTGCCTTCAGCCCCTCCAGCAGCTCCCATAGGGGTGGCCAAAGCTCCTACAAATGCCATTTTGACTGATTTCATCACCCCCAGACAATGGATGCAGCTGCCACCCGGCCCAGCCCAGCGTTCAGCCTCACCCCTCCCCCAGAACTTCAGGAGATGCCATGGCTTTTGTGCCTGTGTCCCTGTGTCACATTCCCACCTGCTCCAGTGTGAAGGAGCCCCCGGGGCAATGACAGTCTGCTACAATCCCTTCCCCTGGATCCCCGGGCTGAGACATTCTCCATTCCAGCACCAAGAAGCCCTCTGGGCGCTGCCCTCCTCCCTCCCCTCTCAAACCCCACGCTTCCCCCATGCCTGCAGCTCCCACAGCCACCCTGGAGAGGCAGGCAGCAAGCATTGCACAGCGGCAGCTGAGGCAGGAGAGGCAGCGCAGGGGTGGCTGAGCTTCCCCTACTCACCAGAAACCAGTAGATGTTCATCAGAGTGAGGACAAGGAGCAGAGCATTGAAGAAGAAATAGAAGGGGATATTAGGAACCGACTGGAGGCTGGAGTAGCAAGTGGCGTAGAGCACCTTGAGGGGAAACCAGTAGAGACGGAACCAAAACCTGCCAGAGCAGAGGGAGCAGGGTGGGATTAATGGCCCCCAGGGATTCCCAGAGCAGCTTCCTCCAGCACAGCCTCCCTTGTCAACTCCTCTTGCAGCTGGCAGTCCCAGCCCCTGGCATCTGATTTGGGTTTAAAGGCCTGGTTCTAAGACTTCACACACGCAGGTACATCAGGGAGGGTACTATTGCCACAGGCTGAGCACCAGCACCAGGCTGAGCAGTGGCTTTCTCAGAGTAGAGGCAATTCTACAGTGCAGATTTTCTCAGCTGGATGGGGGCACAGCAGAGGAGTACAGCTGAAAGGTTTTCTTAGTTCTGTGCATCCCTTGTTTATCACTCAAAACCTTCCTTGTTCTCCTTCCCCCTCATATCAATCGTTCCTGTTGCCACCTCTCCTTTTCAGAGAAGCCTGCAGAGAGGGAGGAAGGAGACAAAGGGATGCACCAGGAGTGACAACCTGTGAGTAATTTATCTCTGCTCTTCATCTTTCTCTCCTGCCTTTCCCCAGGAGGAGCAGCAGGGCTGGGATCTGAGGCCCACATCCCATTTGTTTCTTCTTCAAAAAATAAAAATAAAAGAGAAGAAGAAGAAGAAGAAAAAAAACAACCCACAAAAATTGTTTATTAATGCTAAAACCAAATGAGTGGGAAAATGGGAACAGCTCCTCCTCCCCTGGGGTCATTTGTCATGCTGCAAGCAAAATTTCACAGGCACTTCTGTGGTGACAGACGGCAAAGTGACTACAGAAGGATTCCAAGCCCAGCATGGGGTCAGGCTCTGCAGGAACCTCTTCCCAAATAGTTTATAGAAACAACTCGTTCCCATGCACACACACCCAGCAGGCTGTACCCCGGGGCACCAGGGTGACTGCAAAAGCTGGCAAGGATAGCTGGAAGTGGGATCAGGGCTGGGTAGGCAGACAAACTCACCAGCTGACACTGAAGGTGAGGCAGCCAATGTTGGAGATGATGTCGTTGAGCCGATGGTAGACACCCCCCCGGTGCTTGAAGTAGACATTGAGCTTAGTGAATTCCAGCTGCACGTCATTAATATCATGCAGGAAGAGCACGAGGATGCCCACGTTGTGGTACCTACAGGAAAGGGAAACAGGGAGGGAGGGAGATGTGGACCACCGGGTCTGCGTCAGCACACAGCACACATCGCCCCCCGCACCATAAGCAGCTGGGCTCTGTGAACAGCACAGAATGAGGCCTGGGAAGGCACAGCGTGGCAGCAGGCTGCAGGGCAGGTCTGCACTATGCAACGGTTTGTGAGCACTGGGATTGCTGTGGGAGTGCAGGGTTAGAGGTGGGAAGAATCTGCGCCGGCCCTGGGTGAGTCCCCCAGTACACAGGAGATGCATGGGAGCACAGAAAAGCCACAGCCTTTGCTGCACGCTGCCCAAGGCTGGCACAGGTACAGCACAGGGGGACAGCACGACAGCCAAGGCCCTCACCTGAAAGCGTAGGAGAAGGCTATAAGGGTCAGAGCAACCACGTGGTGGAGCAGCATGACAACGGAGTCCTTGCGCCACGTGTCCATGTAGGCAGTGGCATAGATGGAGTGCCCATAGAAGCTGCACTGCAACAGGTAGGCGATAGCGATGTCCGTGGGCACATCCATGCCCTTCTTCCAGTCTAAAATGGGAGAAAGACACCCAGGGTGAACCCAGAGCCCTCATCAACATCACAGAGGAGCGCAAACAGCCAGGAGCCAACAGCAACAGAGCTGCCCTGGGCGCCTGTCAGCACTTTGCTGTGCTCAACTTCCACTCAGGACTTCCCAGATGAAAACGAGGTGAATTCTGGAAGAGGACCCAGGCATCCTGGCTCCCAGACTCCTCCTCTGGCATCAGACCCATTCCCACTCAGGGACGTAGGGCAGAAGCCCTGATTTACTTCCCTCCTTCTCTAACTCCTCAACCCCTCTTTGCTCCGTAGCCAAAACCCAGACCCTGCTGTCTGCAACAGCCACTAGGTGACACCCTCTCTGTAACAAAGTAATAGAGGCGGCCTGTTCTGCACTAAAATCATCACAGAAAAGTTAATGTGGAGGCTTGGTCTGAGAATTTCTCTCCCACCAACTTCAGTTCCCTCATTCAACTCAGGTTTCCTATGAACCTGAACATCCTACTGCACACCCCCTTCTCCCTGACTCTTACTGTACCATAAAAAACGGACGGTGGGTCGTAGAAGAAGGGGTAGTCAGTGAAGAACAGCAGGTAGCAGCCATAGGACCAGGATATTGTGTAGAAAAGCAGCTTCCAGGCACTCTCAGGCATCTTGGCAGCATCTTTTGGCTGCAGCTTGCACCACTCACCAAAGGGCTGTAAGGAGAAGGGAGAAGCGTCACCACAGGGCAAGGAGACCCCGAGGAGCCCAGCACAGAGCTCACAGAATCCCTAAGGGACTCCAACACCGCACTCTGCAGGCACTGCCAGAGAGGACAAAACCAAGGACGTGAGTCTCATTATTTTGGCTTTCTTTACAGCTTGAGCTACGAGGCCTGAGAAAGAGCCTAAAGTGGGGAAAAACACAAAGTTGGAGATTCATCCACTCTGCCTTGGCCACATTGGAAAGCTGCAAAAGCAGAGCCTTGCAGAGAAGGAGGAAATCTACAGCACGCATCCCAGGGTCTGGGCATCACTCCATCACCCTGGCTCCAGGAGCAGGGCTGACCACAGCTTGCTTTTGCAGAACAGAATCAATACAACTGTAATAAAATCAAGTCCCATCTGCATAAGGAAATCCAGAAGAGGAAGCTCTAACAATACCACCCTATGCATTTGGACTTTGCAGTGCTGCCAGGTCTCAGAAAAGAACCTTTCAAGGGAGGAAGTGATGGTTCTGCTGAGTCCTGAACACAGCTGCTGCTGCTTTCCAAGCAGCGGGGCACAGCATCCTCCTGCACAGCCAGCACCGGAGGGAGCAACTCTGCATGTAATGTGTGTGTAAGAGCTGCTCCTCCTGCTCCCTCACCCCAGGCTCACCCATAGCTGGGCTTGTTTTTCACTCCTGTGGTTTGCAGCACCCTTCCTGCTGGTCAGGACTCAGAGACAGGAGACAAAGCCTCCCCAAATATGACCAAAGTGATGAAGGAGGGGACGAGCAGCTCAGTGGATCACTCATTCTATTAAGAATGAAACTTTCTCACTTCAAGTTCCCCACGATGCTGAGGATGATGAGTAGTGCACCTGATTTTTGATACTCACACTTCGCAACAGCAAGAGAGCGAGGGGCCGGGGGCTGCTCAGAAATCACAATGAAAGCAAAGCTCCAGCATTAAACAGCTCAGCTCCCCTGGAAATGAAGGATAGCATGAGCTGCTCCGGCTCAGATCATGAGTGCTCCGCAGGATGAGCGAGCGCCCTCAGCTCAGCCATGGCTCTCAGCGCTGATGTTTTCCCTCAGTGGCAGCTGAGCAACACCAGACACCATCTCTGCTTCTAATCATGAGACCGACAGGGCCCTACCAGTCCCAGCAGCCTCCACCCGGCTGCAGCAGAGCATCACTCAGCGTCCAGCAGGAATTGCCTCTCCTGAAACAGATAACACACCCCGAGGCCCCGGGTGGGGGAGCTCCACTGGGAGAGATAAGCCAGAGATGAAAACAAAACGCTTGCAAAGTAACCATACCCTGCCCCAGGTCAGCACTTTCTGCAGCCCGCGCCTGGCTCCTTGATGCTCAAAGGCTATATTAAGGCTCCAGCTGTCCCCAGGCAGAGGCCCGCCTGGCTTTTAGCCCCTCTCTGTGTCAGGCTTTCAAAGGACTCCACTCTCGGTCTAAAAGTGCTTTGTTCTGAGCTTAGAGCAGCGATGGGAAATTCCGACCTGGAAGCAGCAGCCCCAAATGCTCTGCCAAGCTGCCCACAGCCCCTGCAGCCAAAGAGGGGCAGCGCCGGCCTCCCCGTGCATCCTGCATTCACAGCGTGGCTGAGAACACACTGCTGCCAAAGCTTCTTCCAACAGGAGCCACGGCAGGAAAAAGAGAAGGAAGCTTGAAGGGTGAATGAATAATGCAGAGACAGAAAGTCCCGAGCCCAGAAAGCATGAATTATTTGTATCTCCATAAAGTGGAGCAGAGAAGCAGCTCAGCTGCGGGGGCAGCTCAACACTTTGCCAAGGCAGACCTTTGCCACTCCTGTGCTCTTCATTAGGGACTGGATTTAGGACATAGGGCTCAACCCCACGACCCCGTTGCAGCAGTGCTGTCAGTCACCAGCCAAGTCACTCAGCTGCATCTCTGCACCTCAGTTCCCCACCTGAAAAGGGTGAGGGCAACTACATTTCTATTCCAGGCAGGCAGAGCTGACAACAAGGGCTATCACTCATAGCACATCCTGCTGGACCAGCCGTTTCTGGAGGCTTGGGCCCTTGGCAGAGGTTGTAACAGTGCAGCAAACCTGGCAAACCTGTCCTCAGGGCAGGAGACGTGTGAGGTAGGAGATGCGCAAGGCAGGAGATGCCCTCCTGCTACCCAGCTGTCGTCCCCATGGCAACAGCATGGAGATGCCTGTTGCTAAGGGCAACGGGTGCTGCTGCTGGAGCAGTGGATCTGGCTCCGGCTGAAAGAGCCCAAAGCTCTTGGCAAGTGATGTAATGGGGCTGCTCTTAAAGGACGACCGGCTCTTCCTACCTCCTCCACGATACTCCCACACAAACCTTCACAAGAACCTTCTGATTCACTTGTAAAATTAATGGGAAACAGGGTGGGAGGGCTGCGCCAGCTCCCCCGCACTGCCTGGCACAACCTGGGGACTGGGAAAGAGCACAGCAGCGGTTGAGAGCACTGTGAGAGCAGCTTGGAGCTGGAGGGAAAGAAAAACCAAATGGAAACTGCTGCTGCCCACAGCTCCAGAGAAGTGTCAAAAAATACATACTCAGAGAAAAAACCAAACACACTCACACCCCTCCTGCAGCCTGGGGCACTGGAGAAAAGCAGAGCATCCCCTCAAATCTGCGGGCAGCTACAGCAGCAGGGCAGGAGTCCTCCCAGCAACCTGGCAGGTTTGCAGCGACAGGTTATGAATCACAGCTTGTTACAGCCTCTCAGCACCTCGGTTTCTCAGCAAAGGCACAGGGAAGCTGGGCTCTGGACAACACTTCCCAGATAAATGTGATGAAACGCACTGTGACAATTGCAGCAAGCCAAAAGACATTATTTCTTCCTCGGTTCCTCTGCAAGCAGTCAAATTTCCCCCACGGAGAGAAAAGCAATAGCAGACACTCTCTGGAGACCCAACACAGCTGCCAACAGGGTGCTGCGGGGGCTGAATAACCTTCTCATGCCTGAGTGCTGACACAGCAGCACGGGGAGGGCAGCCTCCGCTCGGAGACCTGCGGCTTCGCTCCCAGAGTGAAGAAAAGGCCCATTGTTGTGGTTCCCCCCTCGAGCTGCCACAGTTTGTGCTTCAAATGCTGAGCAGAGCGCAGTGGGATGAGCCGGGGAGGTGGGTGAGGAAGAGCCAGCAGCAAGGGCTGCTCTGGGCGGTGGGTTTGGGGACAGCAATCGTTCCCTTCAATTCACATGCCCTGTTCTGGGGTTTGGAAAAAAACCAAGCCTTGACAATACTGTAAAATGGAGAGAAGTTACATAAATCACTGAGAGGGAGAATAGGGAGCATTGCTTTCCAGCTTCCACATCAGTGCTGAGACGATACGGTAGCACTCCTCTAGAAACTCTGTTTTCAGAGCCATTTTCCAATGTGCAAAATACTTCTCCTTGCAGAAGACACTGCAACGTCCTACAAATTATGCCACCAAGGCAGCAAGCTGACTAGTGGGCCTAAAACAGAAAACATTCACCCACTGCAGAGAAAAGGCAGCAGGGGGGACCTGACAGCCATCAGATTCAGAGGCAGAACTGGAGCTTTCATTCAGAACAGAATGCACTTGGCTGTCAGCTGCCCTGCGGATGCTCAGCTCACACAGGGATGCTCAGGTTGCTGCTCTTTAACCCAACTCTCAGAGTGCCTGCAGCCACTCCACACACCAGCCGTCGGGGACTCTCCCTGTCTGCTAATCCACATTTGCTCAGCTACTTGGGATCTTTCCTACACCAAAACAACTCTTTTCCATTTTCACACCAAGCAAGGATCCTGTGAAAAAGAGACGACGGGCAAAAATTATCTTTGCTTGAAGGATGATGGGAAAACCACCTCTAACACACAGACCCAGCAGTTTCAATGGGTGAGAAGCACACGCTCTCAAACCCTAACCAACCCCCTCCCATCACACACACACAGACTCCACTGCTTCTTCAATCCGACGGTCAGATGTTTCGTGACAAAGGTTAAATGCTGCTGTGGTGAGAAACAAAACCGCTGCCCTGCTGCTCCCACTGAGAAAAGTGGGGCAATGCAAATAGCACAGGAAGAGCTGCAAGGCTTTAAGGCACTCGTCTCACAGAGGAGCGGCCAGAGCAAAGTGAGATGCACGGCGTGGTTCAGGCTTCAAGGTCTCACGGTAAGAGTCACTTCCTCTGCAGACACAGAGTTACAATTCAAGCTGCAAGATCTATTATTTATAAGCAGCACGCAGGAAAGTAGCATTCTCCGGACACAGAGTGCATTCATTTTCATAACTGTATTTCAGTTCTTGCAGGGAACGTGAAGGCATTCAAAAGGAGGAAGGATGCTCTGAGTCTGCACTGGGAGGCAGTCCTGAACGTGGGACAAGTTTCCTCCCAGTGTTAAGCAAGAGGGTTTTACTTTCTCACTGACTTTTCTCCAAGTGAGGAAGCTTCTTGCTGGATGCCCCGCTGCCCACGCAGGAGGCACGCAATACAAACCTGTCTCATAAAACCTGCCAAAGGCTGGTGAGGACAGCCACAGTCCCCAGCTTTTCCCATACTAAGTCCAGCAGAACAAATAGAGAAATGCTTCAAGTTCTTCAATTGGAAGTAAATGCACACACAGTTGTCTCTCACTGCTGCCACCCCTCCACCTCTCCGCTGGGAGGAAACTGATGCTATCTCACACCCGCTCACCCCTGCAGCAAACGCAGGCGTAGCCACAAGAACTGGCTCTGATGAACCCTCCTTGCTCCTCTGCAATTGCAAACATGACCCACTTCTCCCTGGGAACAATACCTCAGCATTGGTGCACACTGCCAAGTGTCCTCCGAGGGCACGCAGAGGACTGCACAGCTCCAAGAGCTTTTTTCACACTCTGATTACTGCTCGCTCTGTAAAGCTGGGCCTTTTACGAGGAGAAACTGGAGCACGAAGGGAACACACCCCGTTTGTTACAGCAGACCTATCATCACCTCCAGCCCAGAGCTCCCAGGCACTGGGTGCATCCCAGCAGCAGCCCCAGGCAGACGGGGCTGCAGGGAATGAGGGGAAACAGCCCTGCACAAAAAGCCAGCCCATTATCACTGACACCTTGCCTAACCATCAGCTTCCAATGGCTCCAGAGGCCTTGGACTGGAACTTTGCACAAGGTCAGGCTCCAGCTCCACTGGATAAGCAAAAGCAACTCTGAAAAGCAAAAGCAGAGCTGCTTTGGAGGCCTCAGCAACGTAAGTCCTGATGGCCTAATTGCAGGATGCAAGGTAGCTCTCTGCAATCTCTGAAACAGTTTCTGAAGGAAATGATTTCCCCAGGGCACGCGGCCTGGCCCACGCAGGCACAAGGAGCCCTGCGCTCCCATCACTGCTCCAGGCTGTGCTGCTGTGCTCCCGGGAGATGAGAAAACAGCTGAGAGCTGAGGACTCCCACCTGACCCAACACGCAACGCCTGCGTTAGTTCCGCTGTTGCAATCCTCTCAAGGCTGCAGGAATGGCACTGCAGAGCACACAGCACCTCTCCGGGAAGGCAGAGAAGAAGAAATTGCTACTGCTGGGACAGCATCAGAAAGGAAGCAGTAGGGCTCAATTCATTATGGATGCTTTCCACAGCAAAAAATAAAGAACAAAATAAAATTAAACGGGACTGTTCTTCATTCTCAGGGAAGTCCTGTTCATTCTGCTCCTCACAAAGCACCGCACTAACGGGGATGATGGTCAGCAAACCCACCCGGGGGCTGAGCAAGCTGCATGCAAGCACCCTGCATCCCCAGCTCTGAAGGTCAGCCCAGCACTGCAGCACGCAGCCAACCCCACCGCCGCGCCAGGGAAGGAAAGCGGGGAAGGACATTTTTCACACAAACCGCAGCTGATGCTGAGAAACGTGGCCTGATCCTTTGAGCACCTGCAAGAAATAATCCCCGGCCCCCTACCCGACCCCGTTACATAGCGTAGATAGAGCTCTCCCGTGCAACGGGACCCCCGGCCCTCCGGCGACGCTCTGCCCTGCAGGATGCTGCCCGGGGCGGGACCGCAATGCCCCCTCACGGCACGCGGCCCCGGGGGACGGATTCTTCCCACACAAACCACCCGAGCTCCCTAGAAGAACAGCACGCTTCTCTGCGCGACAAGCTCGGGATGGAGCCCTGCGGGGCGAGGAGCGGCCGCTCTGCGCAAGGAGGATTCGACCGCAGCGGGAGAGGCGCTCAGCCGCGCAACCCGCGGGGTTTAACCTCAGGGCAGGGCGTCGGAACGAGCCGCAGCCCGGGAAAGGAGGACCGGAGCCCTCCCGCATCCCGCGGTACTGACCCGAAAGACGCGGCGGGCGGCGGCGCGGCGCAGCACGGTCCAACCCAGCGCGCACAGCCCGCACAGCAGCACTTCTCCCCAGCGCAGGTGCGCGTTCTCGGCCCACGTCCTCCTCGACAGCTCCCAGCCGCAGTCCGCGCAGCCCCGCGCGGCCGCCGCCAGGCTGCCGTATCCGCGCCGCAGCAGCTGCCCGTAGCCGGGCATGGGCTCGGAGCCCCGCATGGCGCTCAGCGTCGCTCGCCCATCGCCCCGCCGTGCCCGGCGGCACCGCGCAGGCTCCGCGCAGAGCGGGTCGGCCCGGCCCCCCCCCGGCCCCCGCCGTTACCGGGCCCTGGAGCCGCCCACGGGAGGAGCCTCCGCGCTCCGGCCGGTGCCTGCTAATGAGCGGCGGCTCATCGGGGGCCTGGCAGCGGGCCGAATGAAGCTACGCTGGAATTTCTAACGCGGAAAGCGACGCGATCGCTCTCTCCAACGATGGGCCCCGACAGCGGGCACGGCGAGACCCTCCGGCAAAAACACCGGGATTTCAGATGGCACCTCGTGACGGGGCGGCGGGAGCAGCTGTGCCCTGCGGGATGCCGTCAGCAGCCCGGCGACGCCACCCTGCAGAGCCCTCCGCGTTCGACATCCTCACGTCCACTCATTATTATTCTGTAAACGATTCTCCGCGCTTCCCTCTGTTCCACCGGTCTCGCAAAAGCCTCGCACAGCAGGAATTTGTCCTCTTTCTCCTCTCCTCGTTCGTTCCCACCACCCCGTCACGGTTACAACAGGTGCCGAAGTTCGGCCACAGATCAAAAGGCTGTGGGGTAAGGAGATGCACCTGGAGAAATGCAAACCCTGCCTCGGGGCCAGCCCTTATGCCAGCCCTTACCGAGCACCTCCTCCCGAGTTGGGCAGCCTGCGTTCCAGCACACACTGCTGTTCATACAGCAGAAATCTCATCAACAAGGAGCTCACAATTAACAGCAGTCAAATCGATCGCCATCCACAGCTCAAACGTTTGCTCTGCAAGGTTTAAGACGAAGGTTCTCCTGAAATGCTGGCACAAATTCTCTCCTTGCTGAGGCAGCGCAGGAACCTCAGAGCAATGCATTGGAGCAGCACAGCTGTGCTGTGCATCAGCCACAGAGCAGCAATTGGTGCCCAATGCACCTCAATGACAACCTCAAGTGCAGCAGTAAGGCTCCCTGTTAGCAGAGACAGACAGATGATCACTCATAAAGAGAAAACCCATCTGTGGAATTGTAAGTTGAAGAAATAGGAGTTTTAAGCCATCTGAAAGTCCCACCGCCGTCTCATTCTGCCTTCAAGTTCTTTGCAACTTCTCTAATTGGTCCCAGGCAGCAAAGAGAAAACACAAACTCATTCCTCTCACAGGTCTGAACAACACGTTCCCCTATTCTCACACTGACAGGTTTGGCTCCTTCTCCGCCACTTGCTTTTATTGTTTACATTTTTAAGTCAATTTATCATGGCCCATCAAGTGGGCAATGGCTGCCCTGAGCACACAAGCCCCTTTCACATCTCGCTCAGACAGCTCCACAAAGGAAACATTCATTCAAGACTGGACCACGAAAAACCCCTCACTGAAAAGAGCTGCTTGCTAAACAAGCCAAGGCAAGAGACAATGAGCTCTTTCAGAGCAATGGCTGCGAGGTGGGCACAAAGGAAACGCCAGTCAGACCGTTTGCAGCGTAGCATAAACCCCCTCTTCTCCCTCTCCCGAAAACGTTTTCCAAAAGATAATTCAGAAGATAAATCAAACATTGCAGCTCAGGAGGCCCCGCTGAGGGTTCCGGACGGACATCTGCTCCTCGTATCTCGACACAAAAGGCAGCTGAAATGCTGACAGGAGTCCAAGGCATAAAACCACACAGTGCTCTGTTCCTCATGTCCATTACGTGTCAGGTGCACCAACCACCACGTTCTCAGGAAAGGCTGGGGACAAACACTTCCCCAGTACTGCAGGATGCACTTTGTTAAAGAAAAACCTAATGCTTTCCTGGCTGCAGGACACGAGACGTTGCATTTATCAACTTAAGATCAGGGCTGAGCCTGTTACGATTGGATTATTTCTATTCTGGGGAAGCTTTCCCTCTCACCAGCAGTAACCCCTACAGCTGTGCATCCTTCTTCTGGAGGATGTTAACCTAAAAGGAGCCACCACCAAACCGAAAGAACAGCCGTAACTTGGGATTCACCCTGCACTGAAATCTGAGACTTGAAGTCAGCCTTCAGGCTCTCCCCATAGGGATTCATTCCACCCTCAGCACAACAGGGCTCAGTCCCACAACGGAATTACTTGAGTCTCAGGGTGTAAATTAAGGGGCACACAGAGCCAGAAAAGGCTTTATTAGGAATGTTTAAGGTACAGTGTTGCAAACTTGATTCGCGCTGTGTTTTAAACAGAGTTGAAAACCCCAGAAGCCAGAAGAGGCTTTTTGGCTCCCAGGTTAGAGCAGCTACACATTATATACAAACTCAGCAACGGTTTCCTGGATTGCAGACCCTGCCACGCTGAGTTAAGCCAGACCCACTTGCAAAGGGCATTTTTCCATGTTACCAGAAGGGTTCTGAGGAACCAACCCTGCTTTCCAGGTACCACAGAGCAGATCTGCTGCCCCGTTCCTCCTCAGGCGCTGGGGGCATACTGCATGGCGAGTCGCTCAAAGTCATTCTCCTTCAAATCAGAAACAAAACGAACACATTTCAAACCCTGCAGCAATTCACCAAGGCAAAATGAACTCTAAAAAGCAAACTGCCTGGGTCTGCTCTCAATCATTTCCATTTGTTTCTTTCTCCTTTCTCCATTAGCTCCCTCTGCCCGTCCCCTGAATTCTTTCTCATCCAGAAGATTTCCCCCATTTAAGCACAGCGTCCCACGCTAACAAACAAGTTTGTAATCTTGGTCAGATGGACCTCAAAGCATTTCTTTCCAGATGTACCCCACATTCAGTTACGTTTGGTTCATATACTTGGCACAAATACACTCAACCTGGACGTTGGGTATTTCCCAACATCTCACAAGGGCCAGAAAATTTGCTGGCAGTGGTGAGATGCTGAAGAAATGGATCTGCCTGTTTAGAACTGTAGTCATGCTCACAGCAAGCCTTCCCCCCGCCCCATCTTGCTGGTGTAAGTCATTACAAACTCAGTTTCATGTTGGAAAATAACCAGTACCTTTGCCTGATACTCCTTTATGAACGGATGATTCTTATGTGCATCCTTCAGCTGTGACAAGTAACGGTTTGTAACCTGATGGGAGGAAAAAGGGAAATTTAAATACTGGAAGAACACGAAGAAAAGCCAGAAAGTTTAAAACAATACTTCTATGACTTTGTTCTCAATGAGCAAAGAGCTGAGTTCTTCAGCACTTTGAAAATTAGCAGCCCTATTTGAAAGCAGTAAGACCTTCCATAGCAGATTCAACAAACAGAGAAAACCAAGCTCAGAACTTGGAGATTTCTTTCTCCACCCAGGCTCTCCTCTAAGCACAAACCACTGCCTACAACAGCTGCATTCCCAGACTTTATTGAATACTGAATTTCCCCCATGCCCCAGAACTCCACAACTATTTTGTTTTGTTAACTCTAATCCCGATGAGAACACAGGGTTGCTGAAGTTCTCACCCACAGCAGGAGCACAAAGCCTGTCCCCAGGCTGAGCTGCTTCTCGAGTACCATAAAATAAGCCTCACCTCTGGTGGTTTGCCCAGGTGCTGTGACAGGACAACGAAGTTGATCAAGGTCTCAGGATGGCTGCTGTCCTGGAAACAAAAAGTCACTTCTTGGTGACTTACCCCTACCACGGCCAAGGGTAACAACTGGCAGCGAACTGACAAGCCCACAGCTCACTTTACTGAACAGGCAAAGTAGAAGAAAAGGCAGTTATTAACAGCAAACCACTCTGAGGAACATTTTCACAAAGCACAGTGGTGAAGCTCCTTGCTGTTCTATCTGCTGTGTGTAAGAGATATTCAGATTCAGGCTAATCTGCCTGAAACCAGCAGGTACCTTGTCCAGTGCCTCCTGCAGCGCTCCCTCTGCGTCATCCCACTTGCCCTGAGCCATGTAGCAGGCTGCCTGCCCGTTAAGCAGGAGCAGAGTGGAGGAGCATTTGTCTGCCATCTCTTGGAAGATGTAATAGGCATCTTGCAACTTCTCACCGCCCTGCAAAAGGACACAGGCATGCAGTTTCACTGTGCATTGTCAAGAAGGCTGTGTGTTCTTTCTGTGGTTGAAGAAAGGGGCCACGAAGTTCATGTGAAGGGTTATAAAATGAAATGAGCTGCCGTCATTCACGTGATCTCCTCTCACATGGGAGATCACTGTAAGACTACAGATGAAAGAAACACAAAAGCATTCAATACTAAGAAGCACTTAAATGATCAAAAGATCAAGGTTCTCATTCAAAGAGAAAAAAAAACATTTCAAAAGAACCACTTCAGAGCACTGATTTCACGTCTGGAAGAACATCATAACGTAATAAAAGATCATGAAATGAGATTTCATAATTAAACCCAGGTACAGGCACCTGGCTTTTCAAAATGTCCCAGCTTCAGAGAGCTTCTAGATGCAGCAGCTTGCACTGACCAGAGGGTGAGAGTTTCCCTAGGGAAAAATGGGATCTGAAAGAAAACTCAGCCTCATGCTTTTGTAGGGGCACAGAGATGTACAAGAATTTAATAACAAGACAAAATGAACACTAAAACACTCTTAATAGCACTGTGACAGGTTACTGCATGCATACCTCGGAATTTACTGAATTTCAGGAGACTGTTTGGTTTCAAACACCTGACATCCAGGCTACCAGCCGTATGTTGTTGGCTGACTGTTTGAAACTCTTGATTACAATACAGTTTCTTGCCAACCAGTTGCAGGCACCAAAAGGTTTAATGAGATTTGGTAACTGGGCAAAAGGCCGATTTCTATCTCTGCAGAGACAGATTTCCTTGAATGGGAGGGCAGATTAAGAGCATTTTATTACACTGAGTTTAGGTAGCACTGTCCTGTTACACGTGGGATTTGCTTTGAAACAACAACAACAGAAAAAAAAACCTGCATGCTTTTCTGAAAGCATGATGTGAAAACAGGGATCACAAAGAAGGCACAGAGTCTTGTCTGAGTGCTGTTTCTCAGATGCTGTAGACCAGGGATACTCACTATAGCCAGGTTCACCCAGGCAGTAGCCAGCTGAGTGAGGGTCGCATCTTCATCTTGCTCCTGCATCTTCTTAAGCTCCTTGCTGCAGATGCAAAAGTGGGAGTTGCATAAAAGGAACACAACTGTCTCACAGTTCCCTAAGACACAAACAGAAAGCTGTAGTTTTCTTTGTCAAGCTCTTTCACCTCCATAGCAAAACAGCCAGATCAAACTGCTCACGAGGCATAATTACCTCCTCATGTTTTACCAAGACAAGCTGTGAAAGAGCTCCCTGTTTTACTTCTGTAAGGGAAGGAAGAAACCCAGGCCCAGAGATTCAAAGCACTTTATGCTCACTATTCAGAAACAACAGACACAGACAAACTTACTCACCGAGCCAGATCAAGTCTGTCAAGCTTTAGAAGAATCTGGATCATCATCGCCATGCTGCAACAAAAGCAAATCAACTCTAGTGATGGCATGTTTTATCATTGCTTGTGCTTTGTTAGGAGCCTGCTGTGTAACAGGGATGCACTACCGTGCCAGGGCCAAGGCACGAGGCAGCCAACAAAGCTGGCAGTGCTCACAGCAGGGCTCAGAGCAGGGCAGCATGCTTCCAGTTGCTCTCCTGCTGTACAGCCATAGTACTCACTTCAGCAATTCTGAATACACACAGATCAATGAACCAGATTCTTAAGTTTCACAAGGGAGCAATAGATTCGATATCGTAGGCTGTGCACCGTATCACTCACAACTTCAAAGGCAAACCTCTAAACAGTCTCTCAATGGTTTCAAGGCTCGTCTGAGACAAGCCAAACCTTGGACATTTCTATTACCACTCTCCCTAGGTAAGAGACTTTGCTAACACACTCCTCAGAGATGCCAGATCAAGTTACACTTACCATTCCAAACTCTCCCCTTGATGTAGAGTACGTAGAGCTGCATCAGGATTTTTGTCATGGAAATAGATCGAAGCAGCCATCAGCAAGAAAGTGGTATTGGCCACATCAACACTTTTTGCCATTTTTTTGTCCAAATCAGCAACAATCGCATCTCTGTAACAGCGTGGGTGAGAATACAGAGATGTTTAAAATACCTTGCCATCAGAAAATCTACCTTTCTGTGGCAAAACTGCAGCCACACGTAATAAAAACCACACTTCTACAAACTCCCCACATAGAAACATGTTCCCTGTCAGACAAAGTTTGATTTCCAGCTTATTATCAGGTTTACCTTTGACTCTCATTTGAAAGATATTCTGCAAACATCCGCACTGCTTGGAGCTCAGGACTGGCATTGGCTTTAATTTCATCCAGTACCACACCATATTTTCTCTATTAAAGAAAGAAAACCTAGAATTATCACCCAGTTGTGTAACTGCGCTCAGATTCACAGCCTGCCCAACTGCAGCCCCGCAGTCAGATTATTCTGCTGCAAACCCAGCCTCTGCAGACTCACCTGGGCAATGTAGGCTCTGAACAAGAAAACGTCCCTCTCCGCTTCCTTCTCAGGGCTGGACGGCTGAAAAGAGGACAAGAAACAAGAACTCAACACCCGTCCATCAAAACCCAACAGGAGGCAGCCAGGACACACACGAAATCTCCCTTTCGAAAACAGCCCGAGCCGTGAGGGGCGAGGCCGAAGGGCGCTCGGGGAGTCCGCGCCGCCAGCACCCGGTGCGGCTGAGAGGGGGCAGCCCAACAGAGAGGCACCAACCCCGGGCCGAGGCACATCCTGGGCCCCCTCCGAGCCGCCCCTACCTTGATCCTCTGCGCCTCGTTGATGGCGGCCTGGTAAGCCCCGATATAGAAGCTGTTCTTCACGTCAAAAAGCTCATCCGCCTCGCCGCCCTGCCCGGCGGGACCCGCGCCCGCCCCGGCCGCCATTTCCCCGTTCCAGACACGTCTCCGGAAGCGGCTGAGCCCCGAGGGCTGCCGGGAGCCGCCGTCTCCATGGAGATATCAGCCGCAGCCAATAGCCACGCGAGGAGGATGTGATGTCACCACGGCGCCGGAAGCAGCTGCCGGACAAGGCGGGCTGGACGGGGCCAGCAGGAGGCAGCCAATGAGAGCGCGAAAGCGGCCGGAAGTCACTGGGGTTGAGTGAGCAGCGGCATGGCTGCGTTCCGGGAGCTGGGATTGGCTCCGTGGCTGGTGGAGCAGGCGCGGCAGATGGGGCTGAGCCGGCCTACGCCCGTGCAGGCCTCCTGCATCCCGCCAATATTGCAGGGTGAGTGCGGTCCCTTGGTCCCCCGCCGTTCCGCGTCGTTCCCGTCGTTCGCGTTCTTCACCCTAACCCCGCTCCCACTTAGGCCGTGACTGCCTCGGCTGCGCCAAGACGGGTAGTGGGAAGACGGCAGCTTTCGTGCTGCCGGTGTTGCAGGTGCTCTCCGAAGATCCCTATGGCATTTTCTGCCTGGTGCTAACGCCCACCAGGTACGGAGCAGCCCCGGAGTCCCCTGCCTGACGTCCGGTGTCCCCACTTCCCCCGCTTAGCCCTATCCTCCTTGCAGGGAGCTGGCCTACCAGATCGCCGAGCAGTTCCGTGTGCTGGGGAAGCCGCTGGGCCTGAAGGACTGCGTGGTGGTGGGCGGCCTGGGTGAGTGGCACTGAGACACCAACATGGGCAGGCTGGGGATGAGCAGAATGGCCAGCGTGCTTCTCCGTGCTGCTGTGTCCACGGTGTTCCTCTTTGAGGCTGGTGGAAGTCAGAGCGATGTTTTCCAGCCACACACACTGTATGCTTATAGGGTTCAATCTCCTGTAACACGGCTGCGTGTTTCTCACTGCAGACATGGTGGCACAGGCCCTGGAGCTCTCCCGCAAACCCCACGTTGTCATCGCGACGCCTGGCAGGCTGGCAGATCATCTTCGCAGTTCCAACACTTTCAGCCTTAAAAAGCTCAAATTCTTGGTAGGGCAGATTTTTCACTCTTTTAAAATATCCTTCCCCGCTTTTTAAGGCTTTTGGTTTTGTAAGAACACTTGCAGATGATCTCATCTATTTGTGGCTGTGTCGAGGTGTTGGATGAAGCTGACCGGTTGTTGGAGCAGGGCTGTGCTGACTTCACGGCAGACCTGGAGGTGATTCTGGAGGCTGTTCCAGCACGCAGGCAGACGCTGCTGTTCAGCGCCACGCTGACCGATACGCTGAATGAGCTGAAGAGCCTGGCCATGAACAGACCTTTCTTCTGGGAGGCTGCATCCGAGTACGTGCGTCTCTGCTCTGCCACACATGGGATCCTGCTTTTTCTCTGTTCTCTCCTTACTCTCTTACATCTCTTGCGTTCCATTTTCTCTTGCCAGAGCTGTGGATTTTAGTGCTTTATTGTCCCTTCCCAACAGGGTGCGGACAGTAGATGAACTGGACCAGCGTTACTTGCTTGTACCCGAAGCAGTTAAGGATGCATACCTTGTCCATTTAATCCAGACCTTCCAGGATGAGCATGAAGACTGGTCTATTATTATTTTTACCAAAACCTGCAAGTAAGTGGAATTTTTCCTAGTGATGGCTTTTACTGTAGAGGTGCTTTTGTGATTCTAATTCAGATTCCAAATTCCTACTGTACTGCTCTTAAGCTGTGCTGATGTTTGCTTTCTCAATCTGTACTGCAATTTGGTAGAAGAGCACCTTTTTTTGAGCAGCCTGGGACTGCAGGGCCACTCAGAAATGTAGCACGCTGGAAGGTCAAGCTACTTTTACTTCCCTGCAGCCACCTTTCCTTTTGCTGATGGATGCTGGAAAATGGTGGGGAAGAGTCTGCTGTCCTGTGCTATTCTTTCCTTCAGGTTGCTCACATTGCTGGGGACTGAGACGTGGTGCTGGTGACGTTCCCCTGGGTGCAAGTGGGAATCCAGTCACCCTCTCAGGGTTGAGCGAGTGAGGTGTGGGTGTCCCATTCCCTGCTCTGTCACGGTGCTTCAGTAACTAAGCACACTGTGGTAGCTGTACTGTGAGGGCTTCCAGAGGAATCCCAGCTCTGTCTTGATCGGTCAGCTTTCTGTTTGCCTGGTGTATTTTGATTTTTTAAATTGTGTTTTTTTTCCTTTCAAGGGAATGTCAAATCCTGAATATGATGCTTAGAAAGTTCAGTTTTCCTTCTGTAGCTCTGCATTCCATGATGAAACAGGTGAGTGATGGGACAAGTGTGGGAGGTGGGTGCTTCTAGCTGGATCCCTGAGCCAAACAGCTCTCTGGGTCAGCTGCTGTGGGTCACAACATCCCTGATCCAGGATTCTCCTTTTCCAGCGGCAACGATTTGCAGCTTTAGCAAAGTTCAAATCCAGCATCTTTAAGATTCTTATTGCTACAGATGTTGCTGCCAGGTAAGAGGAAACTGCAGTCTCTGTTGCAAAGGCCTTGACCCTGCTTTTAAAGCATCAGAATTACTGTAGAGATTAGGGTGAGTTTAACAGGAGAGCTTTAAACTCTGCCCGTGGAGGTAGGACAGGATTGTTCATTTACCATTACAGAATATGTCTAAGCTGTGTTTTGGAGCCTGTTTTAGGCAATGTAGTTATGATCCTGTCTTGTTGTACTGCCTCAGGTGTGCATATTCTTGCAGGAGAGTAATTTCTACAGAGCTTAGTTTGTTCTCTTGGTCCAGGAGAGAATATCAGGTGACATGTATGGTAGGTCCTCCCATTCTGTGATTGTTGGAGAGTTGCATGATATGAGAATTTGTCCTAGAATAGCTGCAGCTTATTAATAAACACTCTGTTTATGAGAATATTAGGCTCTTGGACAAAGCAAAGATCAAGAACTTAGATTTTATATTTAAGTTTATCAGCTTCTGTTCTCTCTCCCTGCATTGCAGAGGCTTGGACATTCCTACTGTACAAGTTGTCATCAACCACAACACTCCAGGCCTGCCAAAAATCTACATTCACCGGGTTGGCCGGACAGCCCGTGCAGGTGAGTGGGGCAAACTGCACCCCTTGCAGCAGTGCTGCACTTGGCTAAAACTGGGACCTCAGTGCCCCAAATGAGTGTGAGAAACCTTCACAGCAGCTGCAGTACAGTCTTCTCAGTCAATGCCAAGTCTGCTCAGATTGCTGGCTCAGCATCGTGCCTTCAGATTGCAAGGATAGCTGATCTTGTGTCTGATCTGCACCAATACTTGACTGCTTTCTCAGAGCAAATAAAGAGCATCCTGTCACCACAATGTGCTAGGTTGACTCATGGAGATGGATGGAATTTGGCATGGTTTAGGCCTCCTTTCCCTCTGCTTGTCAGGATTCGTGTGTCACTGCGTTTTCATCATGCAGGTCGGAACGGGATCTCCATTACAATGGTGACACAGTATGACATCCATCTTGTGCACGCTATCGAGGAGGAGATCAGTAAGTGGGGAACATTAATACTGCTAAGGTGTAGAATTGTTTTTGTGTCTGTGGTACTTGCAGCCTGGATTTTATCTACCAGGATGTGTGGTTCAGAACAGCAGCATAAAAATGGTTTCTCTTTCCCATGCAGCCAAAGATCAGAAAGGAATAGGAGTTGTTGAACCTCCATCAGTTTTGTTCTTGCTGTTTCTAGTGGAGGAGAAACTGTCTGTCAAACATATTTTGTAGCTTTTTTATTAAAGCAGACAGCTTTTTTTCTTACTTCCTCGCTGCTGTCTATGCTGAGGTGAATCAAAAGAGCACAGACTTCATCCTTTGTTAAAGGAAATAGGCCCAATAAAGGCAACATATTTTACTACAGGAATTGCAGAAGGGAGGATGTAATCCTTTGCTGTGGGCCTGCAGAAGTGACAGTGATCATAACTTATGACAACAAGTCTACTCGTAGTCAGTGGAACTATGTAGGTTACTTATTAGTTGAGAACCTGCCTCTGGATTTCATAACCAGCCATGTGTGTAAATGTCTCATCCTAATTTAGAACTGAAGCTGCAGGAGTTTTCTGTGGAAGAGAAACTGGTGCTTGACATCCTTAACCATGTGAATGTTACAAGGAGGGAGTGTGAAATAGTAAGTGTGCAAACATGAAGCTCCTTTGTTCAGAGGACAGGAAATCTTAGGCAGCCAAGAGATTTGCTGGTGACTAATACCAGGTTGTGTATATGCAGTTTTCTTTTAAGCACATAATCCCGAGTTTTTGTTCCTTCTTCTAGTGGAAGCACTTCAATATTTGCCATAGTGGGGGTTTTGTTTCAGTTAGCTTCCCTAAGTTCTATTACTGCACACTTGGAGCAGTTAGTGCTGCTGAGTGCTGGGGCTGGAGGCTGGTAGCCGGGGGAAGGACTGCAAGCTACCAAATGTGCCACGCTGCTGAGATTCTGCTGAGTGAAGCAGGACTGCTTTTCTCTGTGTCAACTCAGTGCTTGGATACTGATTGCTCTGCTGTATTTTTTCTTTGACAGGAACTGGAGTACATGGATTTTGACGAGAAGAAGGAAATAAATAAGCGGAAACAAATGATCCTTGAAGGAAAGGTGAGAGTTGCTGCTACGTAAACAGTTTTGATCGGTAGCTGGTATAATGCTCGTGACATGGAAAAGAAATGACAGTTCCTGCCTCACTGCTGTGATGCATCTGCCTCTCCCCTCCTCTTTGGGGTGGTGAAGTTTACCTTAAAGGACAACTGGTATTGAAAAATGTGTTGGAACAGTGTCTGACTTCAGCAACCGTCTCAGCCGTGGGTTTGAAAGCAGAGTGGGCATCTAGCAAAGGCAAGGAACTGCACTGTCCTGTGCATATCACTAAGTGTCCTGGCATTTGCCGTTGCAGGATCCAGATCTGGAGGAAAAAAGGAAGGCAGAGCTGGCCAAGATCAAGAAGAAAAACAATAAATTCCGTGAGAAGGTCCAGCAGACACTGCAGGAAAAAAAGCAACTGCAGGTGAAGAGGAAACTACAGAAGAAAATGGAGCGGCGGAACAAACTGCAGGCTAAGGAAGAGAAATAACATCCTTGGCCTCCCACTGATGGAGGAAGTGTGGGAGCTCTGCTGGTTGGCTCGGACTGCCCTGGTGTTGCTGCTGCTTTGGGAATAGTGGGATCCAAGAATTTTTATGTGGACACTTTGACCTGAAACCAGTGTTGGAGAGTGTGGGGAAGGTGGATGAGGGGAGAAGGGACACTGATGAACTGTCCCCATTACTTTTCCTCTCTGTGTAGTGCTGCTGGCTTGGGCCTTTCCTGACAAGCTCAGTCAATCTCCTGAAAGAAAGTCTTTTCAAGAGTATGTTTCCTTCCTCTGGTAAAGGAGAGGCCAGACCAGAATTCCTGATGATACAAAGGGAAATAAAGATCCTCTCTCTGTTCCCCTTCATTCAGTCAGTTTAATTTCTCTTTCGTGGGCTGGTGCTTGCCACTCACAGTTGTTTATATCAACAGATTCTCCCCTGAGCCAGAGTCTAAAAATAAATTGACAGGATGAGCTCAGCCTGTGTGTGTACCATAGTCCAGGTTTTTCTGAGAGGAAAATTCCTAGAACACATGGAGAGGTTGTATTGTGTGGCTGGTCCTGGGGAAACCTCGTCATAATTCTGCTTTATGTTGAAGTGGCACTCTTGCCTCTGATTGTCTGCTCCATGGGGATAGCAGAGCTGCAGCTCCCTCAGTGACCTGGGCTTCCAGGACTCCTGTTTCTGCAGATGATCAGTTCAAAGCTCTGCTCAGGTTTCACCCTTAGTGCCTTCTTTAATGTTCAGAACTTCCTCTAATTTGAGACTGAAGAACTGTAATTTCTATCCTCTGGCTTACAAAAATAATTTCTCTGGTCAGCATCCAAATAAATAGTTCTGCAACAAGCAACTGGACAGCTGACCTTCAACACGTGCAAGTATTGTTGTGGGAGCTTACAAGAGGGAAGCACTACCTTTTGTGATAAATGGTTTGGAGATAAAAATCAGTCTTACTTCAACAGGCTGGATGAGTACTGAGCTTCTTGTAGGTGTTCAATTCTTCAGTCCCTTTGTGCAATCTGAGCCCAGCTCCTTTTCTGGAAGCACACAGACCCCTAGGGTGCTTTTACCTGACTTGAATGTAGGCTGCACACAGTGAGGTCTTGCAGAGGAAATCTGGAATTTCCTTGAAGAAAACCCCCACAGCCACGCACAGCAGAGCCCCGTGGTGCATTCATTGCATGCAGGAGCACAGCATTGACTGAGACTTGAGAGGTATGCATCCACCTGTGTGCCTTGTGGCTGGTGTGGGATGAGATGGGTGTGGTACTCGAGTTAGGAGATGCCTGAACTGCATTACTGGCTTTGTCCCCTTGGGTGCCCTCCAGGAAGGAAAAAGCACTCAACAGTCTGCCTTGTATCACAGCTCACTGTCACTCCTGGCAGCTGCTGCAGTAGCAGCAGCAAATAGGTTTGTATCAGACTGATGCTTTCTGAATACTAAATGCTGCTACAGCCTCGTGCATGCTAATTTGTGGAGCAAGCCTATTAGCTGCAGATTAAAGAGACATCCTCTCTGGGACAGGCTGCTCTTGCCTTCCTGGAGAGGGTGGTGATACTGCTTTTGAGTGTCAGTTGCTCCCCTCCTCCTCTTGCAAACCCTTCTTAACCTATCTGAAGTCTCTTTGCTTCAGCCTGGTGGGGGGTTTCTCTGTTCATCTCCTTCCAGCAGAATGTGACATGTGGAGTTTGATCAAGGCTCTTGTCTTAAAGCTTTATTCAAAATTCCTTTTAATATATCTCTTGTCTTTCTTGAGCAGCCTTCTCTGTGAAGGTAAGATGTGCTGGCAGTAAGAACTCTCTGTAGCTGCCTAGATGTTCTTGCTGCAGTCAATCTTGGGAGTGGCCAAGTAGAAAAAGAGATTGCTATGTCAACTGGGATGTAGAAAGAAGCCTTAAATTCCCAGACTGTAATTTACGTCTGCCCAGGGCTAAAGGACATTGGGTGACAGCGACATTCCTGCATGTGCTATCATTACTGCCCTCCCAGGACATTTTGTTCTGAGGTTTCCAATCATCATCATAAGCCTTTGGGATCCCCCTCTTGGGAGCGGGGTCTTATATGTAATGACCTGGTTCTCTTAACAGGCTAGATTGTTTCTTGGCTGTAATTCTGCCCTCCTTTGTAGACAGATCCCCTCGCCTGTTCCCCCAAGCAGGCACTTGCTACACTTCCCTGCAAGTGCTGTGCAAGAATTGGCCGTGGAAAGGCTGTGTCTCAGCACAGCTGTGGTGTACAGCTCCCCAACTCGGGGAGGGTTTCCCTGGCTGAGTTGCTATGGAAACCCTTTTCGATTCAGCATCTCAGATTCTGCCTTCTCTCACCCAGATCACGTTTGGCTGCTGAACGTGGCAGTGGGGTGTGGGCCGTGCCAGGTGTGTGCAGTGGGACAGTCCTGCTCCTGTGCCATCCTGCCTTCCCCTCCTGTCTTGCCCAGGTGTAAAAAGCACGTACACCTCCAGCTCCTACTTTGTTCTGACAGTTCTGTGCAGCCTATGTGCTGATGGGTCCATAGCCAACAATGGCTGTTTTGTGAGTGGTTTAGGAAGTATTTCTCTGCTCCTGGAATATCTGCCTCCCTTGGGGAGGATGTATGTGAGGAGTGCTTCCCAGAAGTTTTGCAGGGAGATGGGAAATGCCATCTCCTTTAAACAGCAAGGCAGGGATCCTCCCAAAGTCAGATGCACAGTATTTGGTAGATGCTCCACAATGGCAGTTTTGCCAAACAAGGAAATGTGGATGTGGAGACAGGTGTAGGGATGCAGCAGTCACCTTCAGGAGCTGGCATTTCTTTCACATACAGATACTGCATTGAGCAGGAAAGCTCTGGACTTCTGTGGCAAAGGAAAGACTGTAATTAAAGAGACTTTGGGCTGAGCTTCAGATTTATCTCTGCTGAGACAGCAGAGCTGCATTGGAATTTATTTCAGCTTTGCTGCTGCTGGCTGCAGGTGCAGCCATTTCCAGCTGCCAGCCAACACACTTCCCTCTGGCCAGAAACCTGCCCTCTTTCTGATAGAAGATATATGCCACCCAGAGGCAGCATTAGCCTGATGCTGCAAGGCTCTGCCCAGCACTACTGATTCTCCTTCAGGCAGGACATGCTGCCCTTGCACTGGGCTGAATCACCTCATGCCTTTTAGGGGCTGCACTTGGTGCACCATCTCCATGAGCATTTAATGCACCTGCATTTTCACGTGGGTTCTCTGAGCTGTCCTGACCTCTCGCTGGTTCAGCGTACGCCGTCAGCTGCTGCTTTACCTTTGGATGTTCTTTGTGAACACAAGCTCAGCTGTTTTAAAAGCCTTTAAAAAAGCTGCTTAACAAGCTTTCCTACGAGAAACAGCCTTCTCCCGGGGGAGCCCTGCCAGGTTAGCCAGTAGATGGCAGCTTCTGTGCTCTGGACACGCTGCTGGCTCCGATCCTTGTTCAGAGGGAAACACAGCACAAGGCCTCTTGGCTGGGTAGCTGGATATTAAAGATTTAGTTTAAGAAAACACGGAGACAGTGAGGGAGCAGGGCTGCCCTGTGCCTGAGCCTTTGCTCGTGCAGCAGGCAGGCCCCAGCTGCCTGGCGCTGCCAGCAGGATTATCCTGGGTCAGTGCATCAAGCCTTGGCATTTTCCCTTTAGTTGCAGGGCAGGTCTGATCCTGTATCCCTGCAACACTCCATCACAGTTTTGGCACCCTTTCCATTCTAGGGCTCTTCTGCTAGACAGACCTTTGCAGTTTCTTCACTGAAATTCCAAACCCTCCCTTACTACCTACTGAGGGTAAGCACAGATTCCTGTTGTAGGACACTGAACTTCCCAGTGTCACTCTTGCACTCCCAGGCCCAAACATCATAAGCTGTACTGCTTTTAGACATAATAGACCACATGAGAGGTGGCATCAATGCCAACAATTTGTAGACTCAAACAGTGTTTTCATCTGCCCATAACAAGGTCAGGACTTTAGTATCTCCAACCAGTAAAGCTACAGGGAAATTACTTTTCTCACATGTGCCTTTTTCTGTCTGTTGTCTGACAGGATTTGAAACCCTGTTAGCTTGCTACTGCTGGAAACATAAGGCAGAGCCTAAGACAGCATCCTCTCTCACTTGCTGTTCTACCAGCACTTGGGAAAAATATGCCTGTAACAGCATAAAGAGAGTAGTGAGGCAGAGGGACTGCTCTGCTCATTCTGGGGCACACAGGTATTACAAAAAAAATAAATCTGCAAGGTGGGGTACTTCAGAAAGGGGTGAAAATTCACATTTGTGGCAGCCCATGCAAATCCCATAATAAATGGGATATGACCTATAAGAAAAGTGGCTCTAGGAACAGTCAGTGCTGCAGAGCCGTTCGCTCCACACCCCGGGGACAGAACTGATACCAGCCTCCCATTCCCTTCCACCCAGTAACTCCCTACAGCTGAAGTTGACAGCAGCATCTGAGGAAATTGAATTTGGTTTCTTTGATTCTCACTCCCCAGGCTTGTGCTTAGCTGGGGAGCTGAGAGGCTGTGAGCACTGAATCAGTTGTGAACTGACTGAAATGTGAAAATGTTGCTCCTTTAGATTACCTGTTGCTAGAGCTGACACATCTATTGTCTGGAGTGTTGTTCTTACTGTAAGTATCTCATTTCCAGAATGACTCCAGCTGCTGCTTTCTTGGTAGGGTGGTGGGAAGCTGATGGAGGAGGCAGAGATGATTAGTGCTGTAGCTCATGTTCTTTTCCCTTGGAGCAGAGACTGCCTTTACACACCACAATCTAATAACGATAATAATTATAAATTACTCTGGGAAAGGAGACTGTGAAGCTCACTAGAGTTTGGGGCTTTATTATGTGCTCATGGACATCTTCCAAAACACACATTTAATTGCCGTGCCTTCTCTGGTGCACACAAATTGTCTTCCAGTGCCTGCATGTGGCAGGGGTGGGGGCTGCACTCGCAGAGGATGCTTGCCTGTGCTGTCAAGTGTAAACAGAGAATCTCTGAACTAAAAATAACCTCCCCTCCAAGTAACAGACCATCTGATTTCTGTATCCCAGCCCAGATGCAGGGAGCTCAAAAGGGTTAGCTCACCTATTTTGGTGCTATTTGATCACCAACTCCCCCATGTCTGATCCTTTGGCAATTTAAGCAGAGTGCCCAGCTGCTTCCCCTCCAGCAAGAATTTGCTTCAGTGTGCTCTTAGAAAAATACAGGTATGGAAGTCAGTATGTTAAGAGCTTTGCTATGAGATTACCTAAAGCCACATCACACATCATCAAGGGGGCTGTATGGCATTATTTTGGAACGATCTTACCTCCTTCATAATCACTCCCAGACTTAGGTATTAACCAGCCCACCCTGCGCTGGCCTTTCCTTCCCTTGGCTTTT